ACTGTGGGGATGATAACAAATTATGGATAACATTGAGAAGAATGGGAATTCCAGAACACTTAATTGTGCTCATGAGGAACCAAGAGGCAGTTGTTGGAACAGAACAGTGGGATACTGCATGGTTTAAAATCAGGAAAGATGTGCATTAGGGTTGTATCCTTTCACCATACTTATTAAGTCTGTATGCTGAGCAAATAATCTAAGAAGAATGTAGCATCAGGTTTGGAGAAAGACTCATTAACAAGCTGCGTTATGCAGATGACACGACCTTGCTTGCTGAAAGTGAAGAGAACTTGAAGCCTTCAATATGGATTACACCTTAAGGTAAAGAAAACAAAAATCCTAACAACTGAACCAATAAGCAACATCATGATAAACAGACAAGATTGAAGTCAAGGATTTCATTTTACTGGGATCCACAATCAACGCCCATGGAAGCAGCGGTCAGGAAATCAAACAACGCATTGCATTGGGCAAATCTGCTGTAGAAGACCTCTTTCAACTGTTAAAAAGCAGAGCTGTCACTTTGAGGACTAAGGTTTACCTGACCCAAGCCATGGTGTTTTAAACTGCCTCGTGTGCATGCAAAAGCTGGACAGTGAATCAGAAAGACCTAAGAAGAATTGATTCCTTTGAATTATGATGTTGGTGAAGAATACTGAATATACCATGGACTGCCAGAAGTACAAACAAAAGTAGGCTAGAGTAGAATAAGTATCAACTTTAAAAAATAGTCAAGTAACAAAATACGGAATGCAGGAGATGTAAAATTAAGATAGAGCTAAAAGCACTCCAGAAGTGATTAAGACTAACTGTTGGCCAGGAATGTAATTACATCAGTAGATGTAACTTTGATTTTCTCACCCTGCTGCATAAGGGTCCTCCTAGATCTTATTTAGAGCCTCTGTAAATAAGATTTTATTTTACTTGGTTCCACAATCAGCACCCATTGAAGCGGCAGTCAAGAAATCAAATGATACATTGCACTGGGCATATCTGCTGCAAAAGAACTCTTTAAAGTGTTGAAAAGCAAAGATGTCACCTTGACAACTAGGAATGAACAAGTCTGTCTTGGAAGAAGTACAACCAGAATGCTCCTTAGAAAGTAAGGATGGCAAGACTATGTGTCTCACATACTCTGGACATGTTATTAGGGAGGGATCAGTCCCTGGAGAAGGACATCATGCTTGGGAAAGTAGAGGGACAGCAAAAAAGAGGAAGACCCTCAACGAGATGGATTGATACAATGGCTGCAACAGTGGGCTCAAACATAACAATTGTGAGGATGGCTCAGGACCAGGCAGTGTTTCGTTCTGCTGTACATGGGGTCGCTGTGAGTCGAAACCAATTCAGCGGCACCTAACAGTAACAATAAATAAGATTCTTTTCAAAAAGTAATGAAGTATTACCTCACAGGAATATGATCTGATCTTTAAGTTACTTTTAATCTATCATGACCATAGTGATCATCTTTTGCAAAGCCCTAGTTAAAGAAATGACTT